GAGTTATTTTTATAGTTTTTTAAACCTTGCAAGAAAGCTAAATATTCTTAGACATGGTAAAAAAGCTATAAATATTTCTAGAATTAATTATATGTATTAATTTAATAAAACTAGAAAATTAAAAAGTTTCGGTCTCCACCAAAAAAAACCGTCAAATTTTTAAAATAGCATTAACACTCTTAAATTTTTAAACAAAAGTTAAAAAAAGTTTTTACAGATGAAAACTTCACACTTTTTTAAAGTTAGATAAATATTTTAAAAAATAGATAGTAATAATAATGAAACATTTTTTTTTAGGAGTTATAGGTTTGAAAATATTTTTTTTAGGATTTTTAGAAATTTTAGACTATTATTAAATTTATCGTAAATTTAGCCAAAAATATATATTTTTGGGTCTCAACTATATGTTTTTTATTATTATTTATTTATTTATTATTATCTTGAATGACTAAGGACAAAAGGGTAACTACATTTGGTCGATGGGCTGACCCACCTAAAAAACGATCAACGATTGGTTTCTGGATATCCATTAAATAATCAATATACATTCAAAATTATGAACATTCATTATATATAAATATAAAATTTTAATTTATCTTCCTCCACAACTTCAATGATTAAGACATCCTCTTCCTTCATTATCTCACTCTCTTGACTATAACTTTCAATTTCTTATACCCGTTCATCTTTGTCTCGTTCTTTTTTTTTGTTTTACTCTCAATTGTACTGTACTATTTGGGCAGAATTCTTTTATATTTCACTCGTGTCGGCCAAATCGAACATAGTTTAGTATATAAGACACAAACTACTACCTTAAAAATCGATAGTTCGAATGCTCGTCTTTCATCAAAGTAGAAGAGGAGTAGAAGTTATTATATCCAATGCATAAGCTTTTTAGTTAGAAGTACAAAATACAAAAATCATCCTACCCAATTATTCATCTTCGTCCACAAACTCAGTGATTAAAACATCATCTTCCTTGATTATCTCACTCTCTTGACCATACAATCTTTCCTCTTTTATAAATTTTGGGTGAATTCTTTCATATTTCTCTCATGTCGGCTAAATCGAACATAATTTAGTATATAAGATACAAACTACTATCTTAAAGATCGATAGTTCGATCGCTCCTCCTTCATCAAAGTAGAAGAAGAGTAGATATTATCATATCCCACACATAAACACTTTAGTTTGACATACAAAATACCGATTTATTGATCTTAGGTAGGATGATTACAACTTCTCCAATTAGCCATTCATTGATCACCTAAAATGGGAAGATTTCTTAAAATAAGATGATGAAAAGCAAAGTTGATGTTCATAAATGAAAATGGCACATACCATATGAAGCTTCATTTCTGGGAGGTGGATTGCAGTTTTGAGGAGCCCAGCCAATCTGCCGTCTCTGGTTGTCATAGACTACAATCTTATTGAGCATAGAAATATCTGTACAAGAATTTGAGGAAGGTTGGAAGAAAGCATGTAAAAGAAAAGAATCTGAATGTTTCTTGTTCATCACCCAACACGTCTCTAATCTTACCTCCAATCAGGTTGACATTTCCCAATCCTTCTTTGGTTCCATCCAGAATCCCCAAGCACACATTACCAAATTCCTGTAAATGAATGAAGAGATTCTTACCGTCCGTCCCTCAAATATCATTGTTAGATGAAAGTCACACGTCAGCTAATTTATAAAATGTTCATGTGTTTATAATTAAGGAATACTATCTCAAATATCATGTTGAATGAAAGTCATGATAGCTTATGCTCAAAGTAAACAATATTATATCATTGTGGAGAGTCGTATTGATCTAACATGGTATCAGAGTTATGCCCTAAACTTAGTATTGTGAACCTGAAAGGTATAGTAAAAAATGACTATGACTCCAAAAGAAAAGGAGTCGAGCCTCGATTAAGGAGAGACAATCCTCAAATGTCAAATCAAAGTGAACAATAATCATATGAGTCACATGTTCATCTAACTTATCATGAGTGAAAAAAAAAGCAGGAAGAAAGAAAGGGACTGATTGCCCCCACTAAGAAAGATGAGTCTGAAATAAAAGAAGACGAACCCTTATGGGTTATAAATGAGAGGTGTTTGAGGAACTTACACTGATTATGAGATAAGCTTCAGGAGGTATTTGAAATTGAGCGTTCTTGGAGTTCTTAAAGTTTAAGGCCAGGGGCTTGAAGAAGTCTCTCACATCACTCACAGATTTGAAAGCTTTTCGGCCTTTCCAGCACAGTTCAAGGGTTTTGTCATCAGGAGCAAGTTTTAGAGGTTGTCCTTTCAAATCATTCTTCAACTGGGATATCATTGTCAAGACAGATCATAATTTTTCTAATGATATCGAGACATTTATAACTATAAAAGAAGTTCTTGTTCCCATATTCTCACCAGTTTCTCTACAGCTCCATAGACTTGGGAGTTGAAGTAAGTGTAAGAGCTTCCACTGTCAAAAGTCAGGGTAAGGCCCCTAATTCCACCAGCCTTCCCACCAAAGTAAACCTCTGCAGGTCCAGATGAGTACTTCCTGAGAATGAATGAGATCAAACAGTAATACATGCCGAAGTCAACTACATGGAGGAGGTATAAGAAGCAAATGATCAATGTCAAAATTTATCTGACCCTTCTGAATTGCGTAATATCGGCGTCCACGACATCCCGGAAGATGGGACGAGGCCTGCTCCAAAGAATAGAAATCCTCCCCCAAGTTCGGCGAGGCAATGTCCAATGACATTGCTTACATGGCCGAGGTCACTTAGCTGTGATACAATGGTTGCTTTACTACAACTAAGGCCAAGAACACCAGCTACTGAAGGAGGCGGTTGCGTGCCACCATCGTCCTGATCATATCCACAACTGCAGGCAACAGGAATCAGAGGAAAGGAAGATTGGTATTAAGTTTCCAAGAACAAAGGCCAAAAAGTAGTACTGTGTCAGGCTGGCCAAACTAAGTGTTCACTGCAAAAAGAAGTTTTTAGCCTCTTTTATAACCCTTTCATAATTTGCTTACAAACGCTACTACCACTTCCACTCAAAAGTTTCTTTGTTTTACAATCTACATTTTTATTTGTCCTTAGGTTTTTTAAAACGTGTACGCTAAGAAGAGATTTTCACACCCTTGTAAAAAAAATGTCTTATTCTCCTCTCCAATCGAGGTGAGATTTTATAGACTAAAAATTAGAACGTTTTTTGTTTCTAGAAATAAAGTTAAGTTTTCTTTGTTTTGTTATCTCCTTTTTAAAACATTTTCACAATCTAAGTCATGAATTCTATCATGATTTTAGAAAATGAAAAGGCACAACTAAAAACTACTACAAACCAGCATAATTTTTAAAAACAAGACACGAACAATGAAAAGGCAGTAATAAAGCAGAATTGTCAAAGGAGACTGAAATATTGTATACAAACCCAAAGCCCAAATTGGGATTGATGAGTTGGCCATTTGTGAGTCGCATGGGAGCAAGATCTTTGACCAAGACACCAATGGATGATCCATGGTCAGCATACTCGACCTCGTAGACACATTGATCATTTGATTTCTTGCAAGGGGCATTACCTGGCGAAGAAAGCGCCGCACACAATGGGTCTTCACGACTCACAGCGTTATTATGCGGTTTATAGAGCATATCACGGGGCTACAAAAGTAATGAATAGCACAGAATTACGCTAGAACTTGGTAACAAACACAACAATCCAGTCAAAATCGATCAAGATCCAACATACCAGAGTGCAACCAATACACTGAACATCGCATTGAACCCAAGTGAGATCACTCCCAGTGTCAATATCCAGTTCAAAAGCCTTCGGCGGCTTACCAATCTTGACAGAAACCGTAAAATGACTGCAGATTCCAACACATAATCAAGGAAATTTCAATAATCCAAACAATACAAGAAAATCAAAACACAAAACACAAAACACAAACCCTAGAGGATAAACATTTCCTTTAACAGGAAACAAAATCGACGAACCAAACCCAACGGATCTCAACTGCTCCCAGTCGGCGGTGAGAAACTTGTCAGACAAGGAAACGGCGAAAATCGCAAAGAGAATCGAGACAAACAACAGAACCGGCATACGGATCTCTAGTGAACCTGAAACAAAACTCGATTTCTTATCCTCCATTGGATTCGAATCCGAACGGAGAAACGGGGGATTGGATGGAGTGAACAGAGGAAGAACAGAGCATGGGAGAGTGAAACTGGAGCTCCATATGTACAGAAGAGGAGATTCATATGAGTATAAGAGAACGAAAATGGAGGTGGAAGGTAGGGAAGTTAATGAAACAAATTATTCGATCGAAGACCTTCAGGTCTTTGTCGGAGAGGACGACGAAGATGAAGACGAAGAAGAAGATAAGAAGGAGAGAGAATTTAATCACGTTGAAAAACCAGGCCCGCCATTGGCCTTCCTGTACTCATAATTTCTGCTGTTGGAATTGTCCAAAATGCCCCTATCCGATTTATTTGGAATTTTATTAGTTAAATTAATAAAAATATTCCGAAATTTCAAAAAATTTAAATAATTCTTTTAAACTTTTACTAAAAATAAAAAAAATACTCTTATTATTATTATTATTTTTTTTTTTAAGAAAATCATTCTTTTTGTTTTTAAAACAGGTTGAAAATTTAATTAATACTCTCTAATTTTTTAATAAAAAAATCCATAATACCTTCAAATTTTTTTAAAAACATCAAAAAAAAAAAAAAATTATGTTGAAATTTTAGAATTACTTTTATAAATTATTTAGAGATAATTTAAGAGGTATAAATAAACAATTTTCATCGTAAAAAAACTTTTTTGAAAAATAAAAATTAAGGGTATTGATGTCATTTTGAAAATTTACGGGAATATAGTATTTAAAACATACTCTCATAAATTTATTTATTTTAATCGGGGGCAAGCAAATAAATAGCGCGGAATTAACAGAAAACCGAATTAATATGCATTTTCAAAAGTAACCTTTCATTTTTTTGGGGACAAAGTCAAAAAAATCTATTTTCTTTCTCTTTTCTCTCTTTCCTTTCTCTGTCTCTCTCTCATTCATGGTGGATCTTCCCCAGGGTCTTGGCATCTCCTTTCGAAAATTCTTCAAATCCTACAAAGCATTCTTCAAAAAATGGCATTCCAAGGTCAAGAATGCTAAGAAGAATACCGATGTTATTGATTCCACCTCTGAAGCTGTTGATAATCGACCTTCTAAGGTACGTTGAATTGACGTGCCTGCTCTCGGTGGTTCTAATTTTTGCGGATTGCGTTTCTGTTTCAATCAGGCTTTGAAAGTTTCTTTTAATCATAGAGCTTGCGTAGGAGATCTCTTGAATTCGAATTGTTTGTACTAATTCGATCCTCGTTTATTATTTTTGTGTTTTCGTTTTGCGCCAATTCTGGAGAGTTGATTTGATCTGCGGCTGATTTGATCGAACAGATCAAAGGATGGAGAAGCCCTAATTTGAAGAAATTAGGCGTTTAATCGATAAGAATCGTTGTTTTCAGGATCATGAAGAAGTTAAAAAGGAAGGACCGAGGCCGATCAAAGGCGTTCAGAGCTTTAGATATGGAGGTCGGAGTATGCGAGAGAATGATCCGACGAGTCTCAGGCCTCGAAGCTATGATAGCGGATTCTCTTATCTGTCCCGAAATGCAAGCCGGAGAGGTCAAAATCCGTCGTCGACGTCTCAGTTTCGGAGCATGAGCCGGAGGAGCTCTGGACCGGTGGCGTCTCGAGTGAGCAGCGGGCGGAGAAGCATCGATTCGATGCCGATCATGTTCTCGAATTCCTCCGGCGTGCTGAAGCCGGCGACGATCGAGAAGCAGCTCGAGTGCACGCTGGAGGAGCTCTGCTTTGGGTGCATGAAGAAAATCAAGGTTACAAGAGACATCCTCTCGATCACAGGGTTCGTTCTCTTCTTTATAAAATCTATAGCCATTTCCCTTTCTATATTTAATTTTAATGTTTATATTTTCAATAAATATTTAAATTATAAGAACTAAATTTATGATTTATTGAATTAAAGATCATGAATCGGAGAAATAATAATAATAAATGTGGTACATATGTTGATAGGCAACCAATTGAGGAAGAGGAAACGTTGATGATAAAAGTAAAGCCAGGGTGGAGAAAGGGGACGAAGATAACATTCGAAGGAACAGAGAACAAGAGGTCAGGCAGTTACCTAGGTGACATGTCGTTCGTGATAGCTGAGAAGCAACACGCATACTTCAAAAGAGAAGGTGATGACCTGGAGCTAACCGTGGCGATCCCTCTACTAAAAGCACTAATTGGTTGTACCATTTCAGTGCCTCTATTGGGAGGAGAAACAATGAGTTTGGAGACAAACAATGTCGTTTGGCCCGGTTACGAGAAGCTCATTAAAGGTCAAGGCATGCCTAAACATAAACACGAAGATAAGAGAGGCAGCTTGAAAGTAAAGTTTTTTGTTGAGTTTCCAACCGAGTTAACCAAACAACAACGATCGGATCTTTTTCAAATTTTACAAGCTTCTGACTATCCGAATTAAAAGAAAATGGATTTAGGAAATCACTATATGACTTCTATTTCTTTTTTTCAATGGCTTGTAAATTATGTTTTGGTTTCATCCATTTATCTGATCTAATTATATAATTTAGGTATCACTAATGTTTGTTTTTACTCGAGAAGATTAGGGATTTTGTTTATAATGCTCATTCTCATAGGCCCGAACCCTAACTCTCCCCTTCGGTTGGTTTATAGGACTCTTCTTCCTAATCCCCATCGCTACTTCTCTCTTGCACTTCATAGAGGATTGTGCTTGTTTAACTCTTACTTATGTGAATGGATCTTACTTAATTATTTAAGTTGAGTTTCTAGTATTTCTATATATTTATCAACGTAAATACCTTTAATTATGAATTATCAATATTCTTTATATGAATTTTTTAAAAATATTATAATAAAGATGTAAGTTTTTTTTTTTTTTTTTTTTTCAATTTTTTGATGGACAAGAATTCTTGAGACGAGGTAATATTTAGAACTTCACATAGTTAAGTAGAAAAAAAGGTCAATAGTTCGAACATTCAACTCTGTAATTGTTGAACCTCGGTAATTGTTGAACTACAAAAGTTATCAACTCCAACGTCGGATTAAGATTATTTGTGTACAAATCCCTGGATATGACTAATCTATAGTAATTAATAATAATAAATAAAGTCAAAACTAGAAAATATTCCACTTAAAGGCTTTTAAAACAGGAACCTAAAGAATGTTGAGCTCACAATCCACCACGGCCCACAATCCATCGGGGTCAGCGTTCTCGCTGGCACTCGTACTCCTCTCCCATTGATGTGGATGTGGGATCTCACAATCCATCGGGGCCAGCGTCCTCGCTGGCACTCGTACTCCTCTCCAATTGATGTGAGATCTCACAATCCAGGCCCAACATCCTCCCTGACATTTATTTCCCTCTCTAATTGATGTAGGATCTTACAATCCACCCTCTATGGGATTAGCGTCCTCATTTATACATCAATAATTTCATAAACACGCATTTTCTTACTTGGTGTTCATTTTGGTTTTAAAAGAAAAAGAAGTCTTAATTAGTCGATACCTATTGAATATACATCCAAATTCTCTTACGAATTATACTATCATACAATTACAGCCCAAACACAAATGATTCTGCAAATATGGCACAAATTTGAAAATGAAGAGACACAAAGCAGCACAAGTGAAGAAGACATAAATAAAGGGTGAAAGAAGATGCTTACGACCAACCAAGAAGAGCACGAATGAGTCCCAATATGCCATCTCCAAGTAGAGCTTTCAGAAATCTTAGCTTTCCCGGTGTGTAAGGCGGGTATCTCATCGCCACATCGCCTGCAAAACTTCGATAAAGAACAGCCTTCTTATGGCTAAATGCATCAAATGAGAACTTTCCATGATAAGCTCCCATTCCGCTCTCCCCAACTCCTCCAAATGGTAGTGTGCTAACTGCCAGCTGCACATATCATCAAACAAAACTTAGTCACTTCAATGCTTCCAACTCTATATCGATCAAGTAACATACAATATCGAAGCAACATGGTTGGGAGATCGATTCAATATGGTTTTTGGTCAACTGATATAGGTCGAATCTTCGGTTTTTTAAGCTAAATGGATACTCGCTCGAGATTTTATTGTCGCCCGTGACAACTAAAGTGATCATAAAAAGACATTCCTAGATAAGAACTCAAAACTTCCAGTAAACAGCGTTGCCAATGGCCTAGAAGCAACTGTTTTCCATGATAGTCATCTTGCTTCTATAAGGAATTATGGACCTTTTTTTTGATGTAAATGTCTTAAAATATCAATTGTCGCCTTCATAATAAGGAAACTTGAGACAAATTTTACATCATCCAAGTATTTTTAACCCATGAAGATTAGCTATGGTAATTAAACCCCACGCATTCTACCCCACGATATTGTTGAGGATTGCTGTGAGGGAGTCCCATATTGATTAATTAAGGAGATGATGATGAGTTTATAAGTAAGAAATACATCTCCATTGGTATAAGGCCTTTTGGGAAAACCAAAAGCAAGGCCATGAGAGATTATGCTCAAAGTGGACAATATCATACTATTGTGGAGGTTCGTGATTCCTAACATGGTATCAGAGCCATGTCAATAAAATCCTCAAGTGTCGAAAAAAAAGTTGTGAGCCTCGAATGTGTAGTCAAAAGTGATTCAAGTATCGAACAAATAGTGTACTTTGTTCGAGGGCTCCATAGAAGAAGTAGATATTGCCCTTCAGGCATATGCTTCTATGCAGAGAACTTTTTTTTTTTTTTTATCAATCAAGTTCCATTCAGTATGGTACACGGAGGAAAGAATTCTTACATGTAATGTGGTGTCATTGATAACCACAGCCCCTGCAGAGATGCAAGCCACGAACTGTTCCTTGAGATTTTTATTGCTGGTAAATAAATATGCTGCCAGTGGCTTTGGGACAGAATTCACTATTTCGAAGCAGTCCTCCAGTTTGTCTACCTGCTCCAGTCGAGCCAAAAGAAAGGGAAAAAAAGGGGAAAAAAAAGAGGGATGAAGACGAAGACAAAAAAGAAGAAGATTGTATTATTCATCATCCATTATAGTTCTCCACACAAAAAAGTGTAACTTCCAAGAATTAGCAGTTTCAGTCAATCATATGCCTACACAGTCAAAGAATTCAATTTCTTTTTGTGTATTACTATTAATGTCAGTAAGTGTTGAGGATTATTGGGATTGGAGTCTACATCGGCTAATTAAGGGGTTGATCATGGATTTATAAGTAAGGAATACGTTTCCAATGGTACGAGGTCTTTTGGGGAAACCAAAAGCGCAGCCATGAATGTTTATGCATAAAGTAGATAATATCATACCATTGTGGAGAGTCGTGGTTCCTAACAAGAATCAGAATTCCCAAAGCTCAACGAAAAAAGGTCCATGTTTTTTTGTTGAATAACAAACTTTACACATGAGAGAGGTTAGTAGAATCGATCAATTTTGCTCCAAGCAAAAACGTTCACGGCATAAACATCGAATCTCTTTGTTATCTTTTCCTTATTTTACCTGATAAAACAAAAGTATTAAAAGAAGAAAGAAACCTTACAGTGATAATGGGAAGTAAGGGACCAAATATCTCCTCTGTCATAATCAGAGAGTCTCGAGGGACATCCAGTAAGAGGGTGGGAGCAATCTGCCTGCATCATGAAAAAGGACAAAAAGGGCATCCTTAGCAGTCAATATTTAGCTGATTAATGGACAAAAGAGCAGGGCAGTGATGTAATTCACATACAATTTGGATTTGTCCTTTTCACCTCCAAGCACAATCTTGCCAGAAACTTTATCATCATCCAAGAGCTTTGTCAAGCGATCAAAGTGGTTAGCATTCACAATGCGAGATAAATCTTTAGATTCCAATGGATTCTTTCCATAAAATCTCTCCAGTTCTTGTTTTAGGGACTCCACCTAGAGGTATGAACATAAATTTGAAGATAACCAAATTGAGCACGTGCAACGTACAAAATTTATTTGTGTAAGAAAAGGAACTTACCAATTTTGGAGCAACTTCTTTCGTAGTTATGATATAATCAGGAGAAACGCATGCTTGTCCATTGTTACCACCCCACTTACCAGCAATAATCCGCCGGCACGCAACCTTTGACAAACAGAAACATTTGAATTTGTATAAGATGCTAACCATTAGGATGATAGCATTAGTAGCTAACTGAACTCGAATATAAATAAGTACTTGTAAATTAATTTTTGAGTCCACTACTACTGGAGATTTTCCTCCAAGCTCTAAAACAACTGGCGTAAGGTGCTTGGCAGCAGCTGCCATCACTATACGCCCCACTCTCCCATTGCCTGCAAATTAAGAAGCCACTAGTTTAAGAAAGAGCTGATTTGAGCAAAAGGAAATGGGAGAAAGGCCACCAGACACAGCACCCCATATTGGCCAGAGGTTATTTTTATGAAACTTTCCTTTTTATTTTCAAGCTTAATGGAACAGACCTGTGTAAAATATCTTATCCCACTTTTGCTCAAGCAAAGCATTAGTTTCGGGAACAGCACCCTCGACAACTTTTACGGCAGAAGTATCCAAATACTTCACCAAAAGTTTAGCCACTAAAGATGATGTTGTTGGGGAAATTTCTGATGGCTTTAGAACCACAGCATTACCAGCTGCTATTGCTCCAACAACTGGATCAAGAGATAAAACTGGGAAATGTGGACAACAATGGTTAGTGTCTTTAATATCAATTAAGCCCACCTCTAACAGATATTGTCCGCTTTGGGCTTTCCCTTTCGGCTTTTTCCTCAAGCTTTTTTAAAACGCGTCGGCCAGGGAGAGGTTCCCACACCCTTATAAAGCTGCAAGTGACTTTCAATAAGATATGACAAAAAGACAAATTGAAGCTAACGTACAGAATGGATAATTCCAAGGAGAAATGATCAGCACAACACCCAAAGGTTCTGGTACAATTTCAGCAGACGAAGGAAAAGTGGTAATTGTAGTTTGAACCTTTGATAATAGAGAATGATGTTATTGCAAGAAAGTTATATATAAAATATGCCCATTCACAGGAAGTTTGTAATGCCAAATACCTTCTCTGGTGTCATCCAACGCCTAAGTTCTTTGAGTGCCAATTTACACGAATTTTTTACCATGCCTATCTGCATAACAAGTAACGATCGATTTAAAGGGGAAGAAAACTTCAACTGATCTGAGAAAAAATGTAGCTGAAAGAGAGAATTCATGAAATAACTAACTCAAAGAACTGCATGATCTTAGCTTTAATTGATGAGTAACAAGGCACTGACTCATCATGACCAAAATGACAATACTTCAAAAAGAAACTGTACATAGAATTCTTGATTTTGTGCAGAGAACCCAAACAACTCGACCAGAAGTGACCGTGTTAATTTAGAAGATGCATGATGCATGATGATCATTAATCTATAATATAAGAACAGATGATTATTAAACATTAACATACATACACTTCCGAAACAAATCTATTGTGGAAACTTTCTTCCCCTACGTTACAACTGTGAGATCCCGCATGGAGAGGAGAATGAAGCATTTCTTATAAGGGTGTAAAAATCTCTCCCTAGTAGACGCGTTTTAAAACCGTGAGGCTAACGGCAATATGAAACAGGTCAAAGAGAACAATATCTACTAGCGGTCGATTTTGGCTGTTACAAACAGTATCAGAGCCAGACACTGGGAGGTGTGTCAGTGAGGACGTTGGGCCCTAGGGAGTGAATTGTGAGATCCCACCTCGGTTAGAAAGAGGAACAAAGCATTTTTTATAAGGGTGTAGACAATATCTGCCAGCGG